TGCATAGGTAAAAAATATCAAAATGTATTAGTCATACAATAGATAAATAGATTAAAAAGATTCAATCATATATTGTAATTAAAACCCTCCATAAGCTTATACAAACAGAAGCCCAGGATATCCCCAACGTCAACCAGAGTATACTTAATTAAGCATTCATTGTTAAAACATGAACATTGTAAACACATTGTTCGTTTGCTGGAAGACTGACATATCCGGTTCCAACGCGTTTCGCATAGAGCGTCTGCAGGGGACTATAGGAGGCTAATCTATTAATGATAGTTATACATAAATGACTTCTCTTATACATATTCCATCAACATATACATCAGTAATCAATTAAATCATAACATGTAGAGATTTATGGCAATTGACTAAGCAGGTATAAAGCCCCCCGGAGATCAGGCACCCAGTACTTACCAAACAACAGGTGTCTGACAACAGGTGTCTGGAATGGGACCGATACTTCCGGAAAAGGAGGAAGATGGAGGCTCAAATAAAGCTACCCTCTAACCTCTGTCCAGGACCAAGCCAGGAACACCGGGGCCACAAGGGAAGGGGACACTGAAGATGATGCAAATGACCCAATACGTCCTTTTTAAAACAGATCCCATGTATATCTAATTAAAAGGGGTAAATTAACTACTCCAATTAGTCGCCATATAGGACTGTGCCATAATTTCGATATCTCCTCTCTGAAATTCCATATATTGGACCATATCCATGAGGATGGAAGAGGGCGAGATATAGACAAAAGATTGTTGCGGACAAAGGCGCGGTGCATTTTCAGATATCCACCGCTCCTCCGGGAATTATTGAGGTGCTCAGTTACAGGCCTTTTTTATGAAGGAATATTCTGGAAGGACTTTGTACTTTGACCAATGCAAGAAGAGATTAAAAATGGTTATCAAATAATATCTAATGTAAACAATGTAAAATGTATTCAATGCAGATATTTCTAACTAAGTTTAAATGTTTGCTATTATATAATTTGTGGCAATTGGTCCCGCGGATGAGCACTCCGGGCAGTCAGGGCTACACAGTGTGGGGTTAGATGCGATGCCCTTGCTGGGGACACTTGGGCTCCTTGTCCTAATATAGATGCGATGGGGCGACTATCGGGAAAGTTCTGCCACTGTACGGACCTTCCCCTCTTTCGCCGTCATTTCCAGCAGCTGCTTGTATGCCTCGCAGAAGGGGGCGGTCCGGACGGACAGTGTCCCTCGTTGCCCTGGGAGCATTTGGCTGGTTAGGATATGCGAGTGACTGTCGCTTGCGCTGTGTGAGCCCACACCGCTGATCGGCGTCATGCACACCTGTGTGCTGGGCGTCCTTTCGGCAGTTGGGGCTACTTAAGGGAGGGGGAAGTGGAGGGGGAGGATGCGGATGTGGGACTGGGAGTTCTCCGTCTGTTGGACCCTTCGTTTATATCGGTTTCAGGTATGACTTATTTTAGAACATCTGTTTAGAATGCTGGTCTCCGCTCTCCCTTGGCAGCAATAGGGGGTCGCTCTCGAGGAGGGTTTTGTGGGGAGTGATGCCCTATATGGGTTTGAATAGTGGGGGGTGGAAGTGTGTGAGTTTTTTTTGGGAGGGGGGCAATCTGCACTTGGTGGTTTCTGTTAGTGACTGTTGTCACATATGTCGCACTGCTAGTTACCTATTTGCTCCTGGGAAGGAAAATAGGGGGGGGGGGGCATTTTATAATTTGAGGGAACTATGACTAGTAGGATGTTCCAAGTTTAAGCATTTTATTTGATTTCAATATATTAAATCCTAAGAAATATCCTATTTCTATTAAATAGGCCTTTGAAAGAGGACATCTCCTTAATGGGTCAAATCTTCCATCAATTATGCTACCCTTGAGATCTGTTTTAAAAAGGACGTATTGGGTCCTCTGCATCATCTTCAGTGTCCCCTTCCCTTGTGGCCCCGGTGTCCCTGGCTTGGTCCTTGACAGAGGTTAGAGAGTAGCTTTATTTGAGCTTCCGTCTTCCTCCTGGTCCAGAAGTATCGGTCCCATTCCAGACACCTGTTGTTTGGTAAGTACTGGGTGTCTAATCTCCGGGGGGGCTTTATACCTGTTGGGCCAATTGCCATAAATCTACATGTTATGATTGAATTGATTATTGATGTATATGTTGATGGAATATGTATAAGAGAAGTAATGTATTTATAACTATCATTAATAGATTAGTCACCTATGGTTCCCTGAAGAAGCTCTATGCGAAATGCGTTGGACCCGGATATGTCAGTCTTCCAGCAAACGAACAATGTGTTTACAACGATCATGTTTGGAACAATGGATGCTTAATTAAGTATACTCTGGTTGACGTTGGACATATCCTGGGCTTCTGTTTGTATAAGCTTATGAGAGGTTTTAATTACAATATATGTTTGAATCTTTTTTATCTATTTATCTATTGTATGACTAATACATTTTGATATTTTTTACCTATGCATTGGTCTCACACCTCTCTTTAAAACCCCACGGTATTGTTGTTTTTTATGATTTAAAATGGAAGTATTATATGAGACCAATTGAATTTTATATAATTCAACCGTTTTGTGTCCAGTGATGCCTAGGTGCCCTGGCCAAATTTAACAGTGTCGGCATGTGTTGGTTTATGCAACAATAGCTCTGACTGATTTGCATACCTAAATAATTATGCATATTTTTAAGACCATATAATGTTTTCTTGGCACACTTTAAATAAAAATTATGTACTGTTTTTATTGTAGGCATACAGATTCATAAAAATGTAAAAAAAAAAAATCTCTTTTTAAGGTTTTTTTTTTAGATACTTTAATATGATAATTACTGCATTAAACCTATGACACTGCGGATGAGTGTTAATATACAAATTGAAGTTACATTTTTTGCAATGAAGCTTTCAGCTTGCATGTGATCACCAATGTCCTAGGTGACATAGTTCACACCAGCACCCAAGGATCTTGACACTGGATCGGGCATATATAATAATGATGGTAGTAGTACATCTTCTCACAGTGAGGCCGCTCCTTAACAGTAGACATGTGCAATGTCATTTAATTTCAGTGAAAATTTTGGATGTGTCCGAGTTTATTTCCCGAATAAAGTTTCATTGTGTAAAGCATCAACTTTAACTGCTTGAAGACCAGGTGTTTAGTGAGGGGGGGGGCGCACGTCTCGGGGCTTCATACAAGCGATCCGCCGGCTCTATAGCTGGCGGATCGCTTGTATATTAACGGGCATCGCTGCCTCTTTTCAAATAGCGGGGATTTCCCGCTCGCGCCCGAGCGGGCGGATGTAACAGGACGTGTATACACGCCCAGTTACATCCAAGAAGCTCCCGGCAGGCCGTGTATACACAGCGGCTGGCCGGGAGGTAGTTAAAAAAAAATCTGAATTTTCATTAGCAGTAGTATGTACGAATTTTTGTTATGAACATATTTTCTTTGTAGCAAAGTGACCTTAGACAAAAGAAAAAAAAACTTTTGTTTTTTTGATTGAGCACCGTCCATTATGCTTTCCTTTTTTCCTGAATGCCATTCAGGTTTGTGAGCCGAGGTGTCATAATACTATTCATATAGTATTCATATAGTACACTTTTTATTTCGGTGAGTCGGCGGGCGACGTTCATCGTGATTGACACTGGATTACATCAATGGATCCATTTTTTTTTTAAATAAAGGACTTGTCAAAAACAAACTCTTTGAAAAACGTTTTTTTTTTTCAATTAAAGGATTTTTTCAAAATGTGTGGTTTTTTTTATTTACTTTTAACCCTTTAGTCAATGAGTAGGGGTACAAATACCCCTTACTCATTCAAAAGGGGGGTGGCAGCATCTGGGTGCCCCTTAAAGGGGTACCCCAATGCAAATAAGCCCACTGCCCGCAGACTCCCACAACCACCTGGTTAGGGTTGTGGGTAAGAGGCTCTTGTCCCCATCGGCATGGAGACAGCCTCCCAATGGCGAGGGCACGTGGCCTGGTATGACGCAGGTGGCGGGGGCACTTGGAGCCAGGCCTGTGCTCAGGTCAACAGTCTGGTGGGAATTTTTTTGGGTGGGGCTCCCCCTTAAAATTCCTACAGACCTAAAGGGCCTGGTATGACTTTTGGGGGAAACCGCATGCATTTTTTTATTTTTAACTTAGGGGGAAATGAAACGAAACAAATTTTTTTCTGGCACACATGTCTAGTGTGTGTCAGGGAGTACCGACTGTTACTGACTGCTGCACAAGTCCTCACTGATGCTCATAAAGCAGTCAGCTTTGTTCACAATCATGTGAACACTGTGTCAGCTATAAACAAAAAACCAAGAGAGTGCCTTCACCTGTGCATTATCACTTATTTTCAATGAATAAATAGAAATGGTAAAAACCAACTTACAAAGGTGAAGTGCAGGCAGCATCGTAACCAGCGTGTCTTTGCCGGTCTGATCCCACCCTCTAACAGCCTTGCAGTTAGTCATCCTGTGACTCTTTTTTTTCAGATATTGCCTGCACCTCACCTCTGTGAGTATGTTTTTACCATCTCTATTTATTCATTGAAAATAAATGATAATGCACAGGAGAAGGCGCTCTCTTGGTTTTTGTTAATAGCTGACACAGGGAATAATTGACTGGACTACTAAGTACAAGAGTATGAAATACAGGTATATGACAGGATGATATTATCTCCATGTGCCTTTAAGTGGTTTAAATAAATTATGTTTTTATATGCAAATGGGATTTCGATTCGACTCTTTGATATATAGTTAAATAATAAATGTTATTTTTTTGTGATGTTGCAACAATTATTTTTCTGCCTTATATTTTGGAACATTAACCTTTAAAAGTAAGTTTGCACTAATGTTTATTCAAAAATAAATAGTTTCTGGGGAACTTGAAAATTGATGGGAAAAAAAACAAAATAACATAGATTTATCTTTTTGACATGGTAATTGAACATTACTTATGTATTCATTTCAATAGTTTCTTGTTTATTTTTAACTTTTAACTTGTCATTTCTTTTTTAGAAAATGGACAAAAATAAAGATGGAGTCGTAACTTTAGATGAGTTCATTGAATCATGCCAAGAGGTAAAACATTTTATTTCATTTGCTGATCTATTCAGCATTCTATAAAATCTTTTTTTACACTTAAAAATCTTTAGTAGTAAAGTAATATAACTGTTCATGCTGAAAGGAGAACTATGAGGTGAGTGATTTCCACTCATCCTCATAGTTAGAGCTGACCTGTGACAAAGAAGCTGTCATAGGTCAGCTCTATTGATCGGGATGTCAGCAGAAACATGCACGGTTCTGCTCACTTCCCGATCGTCTCCCTGCAGTGACCGGTGACTGTCAGTCACCACTCCCCACAGGGATTCCCACCTACCCTCTCCGATCCTCCAGCAATGAGTGGAGGAACGAACGGGGGAGGGGGCAGGCACAGCTGGCACTGCCTCTAGATAGGCAGTGCCAGCTGTCAATCACGCAGTTGGGTGTATCTCAACCGTATTGTCGGGAACCATCCCGGCTGTGGCGCTCTCAGTATATTGCGAGCAATAGCCCGCAATATGCTGTGCTTTGGGTCATGGGAGGGTGTTAGTATATGTGCTCCCGTCAGTGGCGTAACCAGAGTTATGGGCGCCCGGGGCA